CCAGTTTTCTTGCTGCTAGTTACTCCAGTTCATAGTGACTGCGCACAGCAGCATGAAACACTGCCTGGTCCTGTGCCATCCTCACCATCACTCTCGTGTGAGCCCGTGCTTGCAGCCACTGGGTCAGTTCATCTCATTGGGGGTCGGTGTTTTCCCTGATCCTCTACTTTGCCATGTATGGTGTTCTTCTCCAGGGACTGGTGTTCCTCCTGATAATGTGTCCAAAGTACCTGAGACTAAGTCTTGTCATCCTGGAAAAAAATTTAGTTTGGGCAGTCTGTGGTACTTTCAATAGTCTTCACCAACACCAGAATTCAAAGGCATCGATTATCTGGTTTTCCTTTCTTATTGTCCTGCTTTCACATACTATATATAATCGAGTATAAGTTGACCTGAATATCAGCAGAGGCACCCAATTTTACCACAAGAACTGCATCAAAAATGTGCTGAAAAGCTCGGCTTATACCCCAGTGTATATGGTACATGTGAGGCGGTTGGCAAACTCCATGGCTGGGTCAGGTATATCTCAGTCCTCAAAGTGACATCATCCTTGCTTTTCAACACTTTAACCTGCTTGGCGGTAATCTCGAGTGTAGCTCGGGGTAAATGTTAACTGTCAGAAGCGGTAACCCCGAGCCACACTCAGGATTACACTTCAGAGAAGTCCCTTAATTACTGACATAATTAGACCGCCAGGGAGGTTAAAGAGGTCTAGTGGAGCAGATTTGACAATGCAGTACATCCTTCGATTTCTTGACTTTTGTTAATCTAAGCTAAATGAAATTCTTAATAACTTTAATCTTTTCTCTATTTATTATGGTGTTGCTTATTGGCCCAGCTGTGAGGATTTTAATTTTCTTAATGTTGAGTTGTAATCCATACAGAAGGCTGCAGTTTTTTTGTGTGTGATTGGTTTATTTTATATATTTATTTTTTATTAAATTCTTTCACTGAGGACTCTTACATCTCTTATCACAATCCATACATTCATCCAGTGTCAAGCACATTTGCACAGATGCTGCCATCATCATTTTCAAAGCATTCTCTTCCCATTGAGCCCCTGATATCAGTTCCCCATTTTTCCCCCTCCCTTTCCCGCCTGCTCAACCTCATGAGCCCTTGATAAGTTATAGATTATTATTTTCACATCTTATATCATCATCCGTCACCCCTCACCCACTTTTCCATTGTTCGTCCCTGAGGGGGGGTTGTAGGTTGATCCTTGTGTTTGATTTCCCCTTTCTCCCCCCACCCTCCCCTAACCCTCCTGGTATCTCTACTCTCATTATTGGCCCTGAGGGGTGTATCTATCCTGGATTCCCTGTATTGTTCTTGTCTGTAACAGTGTGCATGCTCTGGTCTAATCTGATTTGTAAGGTAGAATTGAGGTCATGATAGTGGGGGAAGGAAGCACCAAAGAACTAGAGGAAAGTTGTGTGTTTCCTCAGTGCTATACTGCACCCTCACGGGCTCATTTCTTCCCTATGACCCTTCTCTAGGGGGATGTCCAATTGTCTACAGATGGACATTGGGTCTCCACTCCATGCCACCCCCCCATTCACCTTGGGTATGATTTTGTTCTGGGTCTTAGATGCCTGGTACCTGATCCCATCAATGCCTCATAATCCCACAGGTTGGTGTGCTTCTTCCATGTGGGCTTTGTTGCTTCTCAGCTAGATGGCCGTTTGTTTATCTTCAAGCCTTTAAGACCCTAGATAATATATCTTTCAATAGCCAGGCACCATCAGCTTTCTTCACCACATTTGCTTATTCACCAGGTTTGTCTTCAGCGGTTGTGTCGGGAAGGGGTGCATCATAGAATGCCATTTTAATAGAAGAAAGTATTCTTGCATTGAGGGAGTACTTGAGTGGAGGCCCAATGTCCTTCTGCTACCTTAATACTAAACCTATAAATATATGCACATAGGTCTATTTACCCATCCTCATATAAATATATTTGCATATGTACATGCCTGTATTTAGACCTCTACAAATGCCCTTTGCCTCCTAGCTCTTTCCTCTATTTCCTTTGACTTTCCTCTTGTCCCACTATCATGCTCAGCCTTCATTTGGGTTTTGGCAGTTCCTCTTGGTTACATTACCCTTGATCACACCCTACCAGGCCTTCTACACCCTCCTCACCTCCGATTTGGGTCATTTGTTCTCTTGTCCCTGGGTTTGTTAGCACCACTACCTTTCCCCCCACTTCCCCCTCTCCCGTGTCCCCCCTCAGAATTGTCGGTCCCATTGTTTTCTCCTCCAGATTGTTCATCCAGCCTGTCTTATTTAGATAGACCTGCGGAGATAATAACATGCATAAAAACAAGACAGAGCAAAACCAAGCAACAAAATAAAAATAACAATAAGCCAATGACAAAAAACACAACAAGAAAGAAAAGCTTGTAGTTAGTTCAAGGACTATTTGTTGGCCTTTAGGAGTGTTTTCCAGCCCCAGTCTGTTGGGGCACCACGCCCTGGCCCCAAAGTCCACCTTTAGCATTCCCTGGGGACCTTGCTGCTCCATTCCATTGCTGCTCCATTCCATTGCTGGTTGCACCCCCTTAATGTTTTGCCTCGGTGTGGTGGATGTGGCAGGATCAGATTGGGGAGGGCGGTTTATTTCTAACAAAGGCTTATATATCTTTGGGGGCGTGCAAGCCCCCTGATTCCAGGTAAAGACATACGTCACAGGAAGGCGTTGTACTATAGGTAATACAGTATGGGAGGGGGACGATCTAAGGGCATACACACAATAGGAAGGGGAGGGATTAGGGGTACACATGTGACAAGATGGGTGGATCCTAGATTCAGGACAGCAGCCTAACTTTGGATGTCACTGAGCAGGTTTGACCTGTTTTAAGCTCTCCAGGGAAGCAATCACTATCCTATCAAAAGGGTGTGAGCCCCACCTACAGTGGACCAGACAGGCTCTGATTGCTCTGGATGGCTGAATGCCTTCAGGGAGATAACTTGACAATCATTTACCATTAGTTGCAAGCAGGGCCCTAGTTCTGACATATATTTGGGGGAGATGAGCCGGGGAACAGCCTTTTTCTATCCCACAGTTGGGTCGGAGTAGTGATAGAACATCTTTGCTTTCAGTGTGAAGAAAGCATTTCTGGTTTTCACTGCTAGTTACATGCTCAGCTGTAGTTTTTTTGGTACATGTCCTTTATTAGAGTAAGGGAGGTCTCTTCCTAGTTTGATGAGGGTCTTTAATCATAAATAGATGTTAAATTTCATTAAAGGCTTTTTTTCTAAAGGGATGATCTCATGAGTGTTCTTCATTATTCTGTGCACTGGACCAAACTGACAGAGCAGCACTTGTCTCGAGACAGGGCTGGGCCCACAGGACCAATTGGTGCCGTTTGACACTCTTCATGGCCCTGGCTTAGTTCACTTTCTGCGTACATGCCGCCGGTCAAAGCAGACTGATTGACAAGACTACACTTTTCTCTGAGGGGTACTAAACAGCTATGATAATAGGCAGATCTGTATGATTCTCTTTAGATGGAAGGTAACAAATAGTTAGCATCAATAATACAACCTACACTACTGTCATTCATAATTTCTTTATGAGAGAGCTTAAAAAATTCCATAGAAAAATGGAATTGAAAGATAAAGGTATTTTTCCATGAACTTTTTGACCCTTCCTCATATATAATTTTCTGTGTAGAAGAGAAAAAGAGAAAAATAATATGATAAAAACTAGAAGAAAAAGATCTGGAAAGGTATATACTAAGGAGTATCTTTGTATTTTCTAATTAGTATATAATTGCTTTTATAATAGAATTTTATAATAAAAGAAATATTTTAAAAAGTACTTCCTTTGAGAAGAATGTAAATTTGATCTTTAATACTGTATTTTAAATGACTCCTTGTTTTAGATACTCAGGATTATTGAGCTGCAGAAAGCCAGTTATCTACTGTCTGCTCTTTTCTTCTGCCCACCTCATCCTCCAGGTTTATGGATGCAGAAACTATGAAAGTCAGAAGTCTGGAACGCCTTGCTCTGAGGTCACATAGACTAGTAAATCTAGAACAGAATATTATCTGATTATCAGAGAGCAAAATGGGAAGTCTTAGGAAATTGCTTTCTAAAAGTGTGATGTAGTTTAAAATAGCTTTTGTAATTATTTTAGCCCAAGCAATCACTAAAATACTCTTTTACAAATACCTTTAAAAATTAATTCATTCAATTATAACTGTTTATTGAGCAACTACTGTTTATTATTCATCTTAGGGTTGGGATTTTAAGTACACTAGTAAATGTTTCTGGATTGTAAAAGATATATATTAGGGTCTATATGCATTGGGATAATAACATGTAAAGGATATACAGAATTGTCAATTTCAACCGCTCATAGACTTGAATAAGCACAAATAATAGTGGTTTGTTGATTATAATGTGCTAATAGTATTATCAGTTCTTTGAATTTCACGTGCTCCTAGATTTTCATAACAGGCTCATAAGGTAGGTACTATTGTTAACTGCATTTCATAGTTCAGAAATTCACGGCACAAGGAGGCTAAGAAAAAAAGCCATCCGACTCCTACGTGAAGAGCCACAGTGGAACCTGAGCACCAAAGCGGCCGAATCCCAGTGACTTCACTGAGTCCTAGAATGCTGGGGGGCTTATTGCTTATGCTGTTTTCTGACATGACGAGCTAATCAAGACTTGAGGAATTTGGCTCAAATATGTGCACAAGAAATTAACTCAGCTTAAAAATAAGGGGCCGACTCCTTCGGCATAGATCAGCATAGGTTTAGTGGACTAAATGGAAAATTGCGCTTTATAAATGGTCAGTTTTCTTACGTTACATACTATGTCTTACTGGTCACGAGCATGGGCTTTAGACTAGACCTGGGTTCGCATGGTGGCCGATGCTTCCAGCTTCATGACCGTGGGCGGGTCAGTCGGTACATGAGAGCTGCTGCCGCTTGTCCTTGGTTGGCATAGCCCGTGGTGATGGCTGCGTTTCTTTCTCGTCCTGATCAGGTGGATTTGTTCAAAAAGAGTCTTCTGTTGATTCCTATTCACCTGGAAGTCCACTGGTCTCTCATTACCGTGACACTGTCTAATCGGATTATTTCATTTTATGATTCACAAGGCATTCATTTTAAATTTTGTGTAGAGGTAAGTTCTTTACTGTTGTTTTGTTTCATTTACTTTGTGATTGACCAAATACCATCTTAGTTTCAGATAGAGCAGCAGAAATCAGTATCACATAGAAACAGTTCTAATCAGGAAAACCAAGCCTGAAGCCCTCTGAAATGTAGCAGAGCAAAGGACTACAAGACAAGAGGTAGTTGTCTAAGTCCTGAGATAAATACTCTGTTTGGACATTTTGTAAATTGACTGAAATCTTCAAAATAACTTGTAGATTGAATTATAACATGAGTGTCAACTGGTAAAATAATAAGTTGTAAATTAATGCGAGTTGAACAAGAAAGCTATATACAAAGGCAGCATAGATGATCAATAGATGTCCAGATTTTTCTGCACTAGCAAGAACCAGTTAGAAATGTAACTGACACAGAGTCTATTTGCAAAAGCAGCACAAATCCAAGAATACACCCTCATGAGAAATGGACAAGTTCTTTATAATAAAAACTCTAAAAATTTATTTAAGTATTTAAAAGACATCTAAATCCATGGAAAGAAAAGCAGACTCAGTATTGGAGAGTGATCAGTTCTCCCTAAACTAGCATCTACCAATTTCTGTCATAATAAATTTCCTAGCATGAGTGTAAATGGAATTCCATATGCTCATCCTAAATTCATATGCAGAATTCCTAAACGATTTTGAACTAGAACAGTGAAGAATATTTGCTCTATCACATGTCAAACATACAGTAAAAGTTTCCATAGATTTATATTTTTTAATTTAAAAAATTTAAGTTTTATTGCCATAAAATTCATGTATCATACAATCCAATGGTTTGACTATGTTGTTATTATTTTTTTAATACTGTATTTGTATTTTGCCTTAGGACGAGATTCCTTGGTGGAACAGCGTAGAGAATTTGTGGAATTCTTATGTGGCATTGGTGGTGGTGGTTAGGTGGTGTCTAGTCAGTTGTTGACTCATAAAAGCCCCGTGTGGTGCAGTTGCCCCTTAGGGTCTCCTCTGCTGTCATCTTGATGGGAGCAGATTGCCTCTTCTTTCTCCTGCAGAGCCACGGGGGGTTTGAACCACCAGCCTTTTGTTTATCAGGTGAGCACTTCACCATGGTGCCACCAGAACTCCTTTGGGAAAGGACAAATTGTGCCTTCCCTTGGAAGCTAAGCTGTCGATTTGAGAAAGTATACGACCTTCATACTATTTCTAAAGACAAATTCCAGATGAAACAAAAACCTAGCGATAAGACATGAAACTCTAAAAGTGTTAGAATGTTTTGTTTTTAGAGCAGGGAATGCGTTCCTAGATCAAACACCCAAAAGCAAAGGACATAAAGGAAGAGTCCTAGATTTGACTGTCTCATAATTTAAAATTTTTGTGTCATAAAGTTAAATGTCAAGTGACATACTTGGAAAAAACATTTGCTTTTGTATATCGGCAGATGGTTTATATCTTGAATCTATATTTTAAAAGCTACTCCAAGCGAATTAAAAGGACCCCAGTAGAAATGAACAAAGACGAGAACTGCCCCAGGACCGAGTGTTCCCTTCACCAGCAGCCTCTCTCAGGCAGACGGTGGCGAACACTGGACAGCAGTTTTCCATGTCCGCGCCGCTCTGGGTCATGGAGCGGGGCAGAGTCTGACTGTCTTTTTACCTTGCCAGTGGTTATGTTGCTTAAGTTCCAGGGCCAGCATGTTACATTATTGCTGAGTAGGCTGACCGTCTCATAAATGGTCCTCTAATTAAGTAAATACCAGCACCCCCAGGGCCCGAGTCCCCTCCCACACAACATGAAGTGAGAGGATGGGAAGAAAGTTCCAGCTTTAAACCCTTGAGATGATGATGTGCCCAAGTATGGACCCACAGCCGCCGCCGCTGTGTCTGTCTGCTGCGGACAGGTTCCTTTTCCACCAGCTGATGAAACGCAGCATCTGTGTTGTGGTTTCTTTTTAACCAGAATATAAGAAAGTATTTGCTGACTGAAGCCAGAGAAAAAAATAGACCTGAATTTCTTCAGGGTTGGCAGACTGCGGTTACAAAGGTACGTATGGGATAAAAATGAAAACCCAGGCGTGTCCAGGGGGATGGAATGATCTGAGGGGGGGCTTGTCTTTCAGAGAATTTGAGGCGTAGCGATGAGACCTACAGAGGTTGGCAGCCCCAGAGAGACGACTCCGGGGCCACACCCTTGGGGTTTAGTAATCATCATCTGGCTGCTCCGTTCCCCAGAGCTTGTTGGGAACAGGTGACGGGAGTCATTCTGTCGGTGAACAGCTATTAATGATTTGGCTGTCTGTTGACTTTGTTCGTGGTGCTTTAGTGGCGTTGCCTCTTGTCTCCTGCCTCTTATTTCCAGATGACCCACACAGACGCTAAGGAATGCTGAAATGAGAGTTTCACTTCACTAAGGGAGCAAGTGTGCTCAGCTCCTGGACAGCAGGCATTTGGGGAAGACAGTGGCCTCAGTGCTTCCCTCCAAACACAATCTGGAGGCAGTGTTAGGCCCAGGCATGACAGCTGTGTGTGGACCTGACCGAGTGCCTTGGTTTAGTGTCCTGTTTGACATTTTATTACCAGTGCGTTATAGTTCTCAAAGTGCTTTTGCTTGTCTGATCTCACTTGATCCTCACAGCAGCTCTGTGATAGGCTAGTAAAATAAACACCATCATATTGTAATAGCTGAGAAAACTGAAGCTAACTTGTGAACCCTGCCCAGTCGGGTCTGGGATCTCAGGTCTTTCTGTGTGTCAAGATAATTGACACATGCTGAAGAACTAGGGCCCTTGAACTCAGAGAAAACAAGATTTATTTGTTCATCCTTGAACTGGAACCAAATGCTAAATTTAAAAATCGTTTTGTGTTTTAAATGACCCAGTGTATCAAGTTCAAACCGGAGCTTAGTTTAAAATGTTCTGAATTTATCCAGCTACAATTCCACATATTTTCAGATACTCCCTTTAAGTTTAGTCGGATCTCTCATGCTCCCACTCTAGGCAGGATAGAGAATATTATAACTGCTTAACCTTCATCTAAGAATTAATTGGACAGGGTTATGTCACAAGAATTGAAAAGTAAAGAATAGGAGGCGGGGCTGTCACCATCAAAGGATTGCAGGCATATGTTCTCTGACCCACAAGGCCATTTTGATTCCATTGCCAGTGAATTGATAGCCAAACTCAGTATTCAAATGGAAGTTTTAATTACAGGGTTTTCTTTCACTTCCCGTTTCTTTTTTGAAAAGTTTTTATTGGCGTACAATTCACATGTCATATAATTTAGTAGTTTAACCATATTAAGAAGAGTTGTGGAATTATCACAATTTCAGAACATTTTTTTCTTTTTCATACCTATTGTTGTCCGCTCCCCATTTCCCCTCAACCTCCCCTGCCATTGCCCCTAGGTCAATCCCGTTAGTGCCTCTCTAGATTTTCCTATCTTGGATTTCATATACATAAAATCATTAAACAGACAAAAAAGACCCACAAACAATGACAAAACAGAAACTTAATCAAAAAGCTGAAAATATTAAAAACTGAAACTTTAAAATGGGTGAAATGAACGATCAAATGATATTACGTGTTCACCTAACTGCATCATTCATAGTTGACTTCACAGTGCTCTCCCTCTGATAGCCAGGCTATTCACTTCCCTAGACTGTGATTGGAGGGGATTTACCAGAGGCCAATCCACAACCCAAAATTGATTTTAAATTTCCACGGCCTCCATAGACTTCTGCAAACCAGGTGTTCACAGTTTACGTTCTGACACCATTCCCTTCTTTAGATTTGGATTGTATTATTTATAATCCTTGGATCTACAGGCTGGTATGCTTCTTCCATGCGGACCTAGTTAACACTTCTCTTAGATGACTGCTTGTGTGAAGACAAGCCTTCAAGACAGGATCCCAGATGCTATTCTTTCTCATATCTGGGCACCATCTGCTTCATGCTACAGCACCCGTATCTTCAGTGATGTCTTCCTTAAGGCAGGAATTGAGTAGGGCCATGTCATAAGAACTAATTTTTCTTAATTAATTAAAATGAGAGCACAAAATCTATTCACTTATCTATGATTTTATAGATATCTCTGGTTCACTTTAGGGACATCATTATAATTTTATAATAGCAAACATTATAAAATCATCCCCATGGGGGCAGAAAGTAATTCTATTGAGTAATAAATAAATTCAGTAATTTATTCAATGGTATAGGATTTAAAATATAGTCGAGAAGAAAATGATACATACGTAGTCTGGCTTTTCAGAAAGTAGTGATGAATTGTTGACTTGTTCAGAATAGAAGCATAAATGATTGGATGCTATTTATACACACAGTGAGGGCCGAGCATAGGGCAACATTTTCTATAACTCTCTCAAAGGCAGAACCATGCCTGGCAGACTAATAACATAAAAAAAGCAGAAAGGGCATTAAAATAGTAAGCATATGGTAGTCCTGGACCACCAATCATTGGGCACCCTCAAAGCAAGAGATTCAAACCAATTGCCCTCCCATTTCTGGTCTTTAGAAATCCTGGTTGCCACTTGATAGCTCTTTCCATGTGACCAGATACATCCATAAAACCAGCGCTTAAGATAAAAAGATGCCAGAGGTATAGCCAAGCTGCCCTGGACAGGCAACTTTTCTGCCTCTTGCACCCCCTCACCCCTACCCTCACTATGCGCGCGCATGCGTGCGCACACAGACGTGCTGTTCAAACAGGAGCATGTTTTGATGGTGATTCTGTTTCTCTTCAGTGTATTCCACAACAGAAAAACGACAGTGACTGTGGGGTCTTTGTGCTCCAGGTAAGCAGATGCTACGTTTGTTCCCCTTTCTTTCAGAATTCACAGTGTGCTCACTGGGCTCGTTGACTTCAGAGAGGAAAATGGGGAGCACCTTTATCGTGTGTGTGGCACTCTGTCCAGGCAGCCAAGCACTTACTATCCTTGGGAAATGGTGGTTTCTGCCTTTTAGATGTTGGGTATCATCGGGGCCCACAGACGCTAATGATTTCCCAGCTGGAGATTGATCTGAACTTGTCCATATTGCAGACCTAGTCTTTGCATAACTACTATTCCTTCTGTTTCTCTTACCTGTTGACAAGCAACCTGCAGGTCTTTAACACAGAATAAATTGATTTTACATAAGGACCACTTCTGAAAATTGCTGTCATATTGTAGGTGTCCTTAGAGGTCTAAATGGGTTACAGAAAAAATTTAATTTCTTTGTCATTTACAAAGGAAATTTTGTAATTCTTGAATTTAGATACTTGCAAAGATCTTAGGAAATAGGCCTTATGAGTGCCTGGGACCTGTGAACAAATGTAGGCTCCCCCTTGAAGCTGGGTCGGGGCTACCTGCTTTGCGTTCCCAGCGGGTTGCACCTGCAGAGGCCTCAAAACCCTGTCACCGTCCTGAATGGGGGTGGAGGGGAGAGTCCATACTGACATGGAACATTCCACTTGGAGGAAAAGGTTTGACTAGTTGGGACCCCTTGTACAGTGCTGCCTTAGGCGCTGGCAGGTCTGTATTTGGTGAGATGCAGCGGGCAGGTACACCTCTCTGCATGCCACTTACGTGTTCCTAACCTTTGCAGTACTGCAAGTGCCTCGCCTTAGAGCAGCCTTTCCAGTTTTCACAAGAAGACATGCCCCGAGTGCGGAAGAGGATTTACAAGGAGTTGTGTGAATGCCGGCTCATGGACTGAAACTCAGCAGGGACTCTTGGGAAGTCTGACCAGTTGGAGCAGGTGGCTTGTTACTTGAATCTCCAAACACTTATTTGAATTTTTACAGATATTCAGATCAGTGGCATTGGACCACTATTGTTACCTCAAATTTATTTCTGCCCTTAGTAATTTCTCCAGCGACCATGTACTATTTTAATGTTCAGTTTGGTTTCACTTAATTTTATGGATTCCCCCCGTTCTGTCCCTCCCCTCCCTTGATATTTAATATTTATTATCCAAACGCATGCAGATAGAGCATGCAGTTCAGAGTATTAAAAAAACAAAAAACAAAAAAATAACAACCTAGTATATTTGGTGCAGCTTTTGAAGCTTAGAAGTAAACTGAATACAGGTTTAAAATTTAACCCAAGAATCTTAACATGCAGGATCTGTTTTTAATGACTCATACCTGGGGAGGGGGGAGCAGAAAGGGTAGCTAGGAGTGGTTTTCACAAAGCCAGTTTTCTTTTCTTCTTAACCGGCAGCACTTTGCCCTGACTCCTCCCTTTCCAGGGGAGTCTTGGACAGTGAGATGCAGTCGCTTTTGAAGTGTGAGATGGGAGTGGCCCTAAGCTCACTGGTGGTTCCCTTTATGGAGGCACAGGACCTGCTTTTTTTGGGAAGAGTTAAAGTTTGAATGCACTGTCATTCACTGGGAATGCTGACTAAGACCAGGTAGGGGCAAGAATGAAGTAATATCGCTCGTGCATTAAAGCCGTTCAGCATTTGTCACCCAGCATGTCCTGGCTGCCTTTGCAATAGGATGACGTGGTTCCCTGCACCCTGCTCTCACATAAGGTGGTCCATTACCTTAGCACATAAGAGATTTCAATCCTGGTTTGAAGAATTGTAAGAAATAGTCAATCTTATAACTGTTTTAACTGGGACATTGAATACCATTGGTCAAACCATTGAGAATTTCAGCCTTATAGGAGTAACTTATAAGGTGTCATTTCCCTTGGTGGGTTGCCTCCCTATGGGCAAAATTCCGATTTACTCAATGCACTTCTATTTCAAGGATATTTAAGAGGATGACATTTTTGAAAATGAACATTTAAAATTTTCATGTATAGAAAACCAACTTCAGGTCTTTTGCAGGTGGGTGGGGAGGAAAGAAGGTAAAAAGGCTTGATTCCCACGGGAGCAATTGTTAGGGTCTCCTTGTGGCTCCTGGTGCAGGATCCTCGAGATTCAGTGTCCCCACACTGACTGACACTCCTCCAGGAGTTCTGTTTCTAAGAAGAGTCTCACCTCTGAGGAAAGCAGAAGTGGTCCAGTCTGTCTGCTTAGCACATTCAGATTAAAGTAATGGGTCTTGCCTATTGTATCTGACCTCTTGTAATGAATTTGACCAGAAATAAGGGAAGATGCATGTTAAGCCCATCCAGTTGTCTTTTCAGAACTAAGGGGAGAGAGTAAAAGTGTATATATGATAGCCAGAAAAACAAGTAAATGGTAAAAGAAACTTGAGTTTATTCAAGTGTGGGGTGTTGAAAATGAGAAGCTCACAAGTGTGCAGTTTAACTTGGCTGTGATCCAGGGCTGGGAGCAGACTGCCTGCTAGTGGTCAAGGGTTGAGTTAGATCATGTTTACATGCAGGGCTCCTACCTCCAGATATTCCCAGCACTGAGCAACAGGCCCAGCACTCCCCTCAGTCCTCCATGCTCAAACTCCTCAGTAGAAAACCGGGCCAGTATTTTGTATTATGCTTCAAGTCATTAAAGAGACTTTCTGTGATTAGCGGCACTTTATGTTGTTACACATAGAGGTGTAAGCATTGGAAATAAATACAATTTATAGGGTGGGGCAGGTGTTCTAGATAAGTGGTTCTCAACCATCCTAATGCCGCGATCCTTTAATACAGTTCCTCATATAGTGGTGACCCCCCAACCATAAAATTTTTGTTGCTACTTCATAACTGTAATCTTGCTACTGTTATGAATCAGGCAACCCCCATGAAAGGGTCGTTCGACCCCCAAAGGGGTCGGAACCCACAGGTTGAGAACCGCTATTCTAGATATAATTATGCAAACATGAGACTTTTCAAATATGTATGCAAAGCATTTGTGTCTGGTAATTTGGTGAGGTGAGGTGAGGGGACAATTAGGGTAGGGTGCTATACCAAATACCAAAGTAGCCAGTAACTAGGGTCATTTATCATGTCTTGAGAGTGATGAGAACTCCACATGTTGCCCTCAGAAGGGACAGAATTCCTCTCTGGCAAGAATCGTAACTAATGCCCAGGGCTGGAAAGGTCATTCTTTCCCTCCTCACGCTGGTAGGAGCTTGCATGGAAGTGCATTGAGGGTCTTGGAGGAGCTGCCCAAGCCCACTGCTGCTTTCACTCGTAGCACATTGTCCAGCAATGTTTAACCTACATGTTACATATTTTAAATCTGCTTTAAATGCTTCTCTGCCACTTTGAGACCTGGTTTAAGCAGACATTCCCCACCCCCTCCTTTGACTGGGTCTAGATTTGTATTTAGCCAAGCCCTAGAATATAATGTCCCAATGTTTGCAGAAATTGGTCCCTTGCAACAGTCCCTTTTGAAGTGGACCCTAGGCTATTGGTGAATGTGACAGGTGGGCTGAGGGGAGGTAGAGCTTATGCTTTGGGGTTGAGCGCAGGCCTTGTACGAATTAAAAACCTACTTCTCATGTGCCTTCAGCAAGCTGCCCAGTCCTCTCCATCAGTGAGCTTACCAGGTAGGTCCCTGTTGCACATCCTTCCAGTGAGTTTTCCTTCCTTACATCTTAGCAAATAATGTAGCTCTGTCTAAACTCTTAGTTAAGTTCTCTGGAGAATCAGAGAATCAAGTGTCAGTCAAGCTCTAAAGGGGAATGCAGCCGTTGCTGCCACTAGTTCCCAAATTATGTTTTGGGGCTGGCTTTGTATTTTCCACCCACCACTGACTATCAGTTACACCAGTCACCTTGACCGCACAGTTGGGATAAAAGCCTAAGTGGGATATAGCCAGCTCAGCTTAACTGGGCTGCCCTTTTCCCTGCAGTTGTGGTTCACTGCCTCACTGCCTTAGAAGAAAGGGGCATTGGGGCTTTGTAAGGGTCAGACTCTTCAGGCAAGAAATAGCATATTAATGGTGACAATTAGATAGACTGATTCCCTGCTCTGCTTAATCATGTTAAGAAACAGAATTCAATTGGGATATATTGAGCACATACTTTGTCATGTGCTTGGTGCTGCCTCCTGGCCTGGGCATCACTAAGAAGACCTAGGGAAGACCATCAGAAAAGAGCTAATTAGTACTGGGGTATTACGAAAACAGAACTAGACAAATTGTTCACTTAAATGGTACCTAGTGGTCAGAAAAAGGAATTTATTTAAAGATTGTTATGTGAAATTAGTACTCAACCCTTCTTGCAAAATATTTTTTTGAAAATAAACTAAATGCCTTTATAAACCTGTGTCTCTTTGTTGAATGACACATACTGGTTGCTACCTCCAGGACATTCTAATCACAAGACTTGACAATAGGGTTTATAAATGGGCCCCAACAGCCCACCACTAGAGCAGCAGTATTCAGTAGAACATTGTGTGTACTACAGTTGCCACCAGTCACCTGTGGCCCCTGAACAAATGAAAGGTGGCTACTAGAATAAGAGAATATTTTATTTAATTTAAAAAGCTGCCCAGTGGGTAGGTGCCTACCATACTGGGTAGCTGTGCTGCAAAGCAAATATAAGGCTCAGGTTTTGAACTTTTGCTAAACTCTTCAGATAATAACTGTCTGAACACAAAATACCTAAACTTATAAAGGGGCCAGGATCCCGATAGTCCGCAGATCCCAGTGTGGTCAGACCTGACAGGCACCTTACACAAGGGGTACCCAAAAAACCTGGAATTGTGCTGCACTTTCGTAGTATGCATTTTTCCTGCTAGGCGAGCATTAAGCAACTCACTCTTGAGGTAGTGCACCCAGTGGCATTGCCTGGGAAGGTTCTCTCTGGTCACAGTGAATTTTTTTGTAAAAGCAGTTTTACTCCAACCTTGTGTTTCATCGTGATGGCTGATTTAAGAGAACAGTGTGCAGCTGTGAAACTTTGTTTCCTGCTTGGGAAAAATGCCGCAGAAATTGTGATGTTGAACACGGCTTACAAGGACAGCACTATGGGGGAAAACTCAAGTGTATGTATGTTTTCTCGTTTCAAAAAAGCTGAAATGTTGATTGATAACAAAAGTCCCTCAACTTCCCAAATGGACAAGAATGTTGACTCAGTGCATTTGGAGTTAATTCCACCAGGTCAGACTGTTAATCAAGCTTTCTATTTAGAGGTTCTGAAAAGATAGTTTAACAGTGTAGGAAAAAAAAAAAAGGCCCATTTGTGGCAGACAGGGAACTGGTTTTACCACCATAATGCACCTGCTCACGCAGCCACCTCACTGCGCCAGTTTTTGGCAAGAAACAGCCTGCCTTTTGCCCCACTCACCTGACCTCGCTCCGTGAGATTTCGACAGCGATTTGACAACACAGAAGAGGTGAAGGAAAAAAATGAGGAAGGTGCTGTCAGCTATCCAAACAGATGAGTTTGAAAAATGTTTCTAAGAATGGAATCTCAACTGACAACGTATTAAGATTTGACAAAAGTGTAACAAAGTACTTTGAAGGTGATAGGTTGTTTTGTACAAAAATTTAAATACATAGCTTGGTGGGGGGAATTTCGTTCTTTTGGGGGTACCTCCTCGTACATTCTATTCCTCAATAATGTAAAACATAGCTGAATGTTCACTTTCTTTGAGTCAGATGAAAGATTACAAAAACCGAGGTACGAGGACCTTTCTTCCTACCCCTTGAGACTCACGTTTAGCTTCTTCAAGCCCAAGAAACTTCAGGCTGAGCTGGGAAAGTAACTGTCAATCAAGCCTCGAGTACTGAGCGTTTAATCCTTTAAATAGTAAACATCTTTGAACAGAATTCACCCAGTAAGATCAGTTCATCTTCACTCCAGTACTCACCCACCCCGGTACATTGCCTCCATCTAAACCAGACGTGTTCTGGAAAATGTTAACTTAAGTAACTTTATTGTCTTTATTTTTTTTCTCACAAGGCTGCTCAGAGCTAGTTCCTAATATAGCAAGTTAAAATGGACATTCACATTCTGTTCAATATTCATAGGTATCCCCAAGCTCATTGAGATATTCCAGACTACTCCAGGGTTCCAGGAGCCCTCGGTAGAAGACTGTACCGTGGTGAGTTGTTCAACATTAGTGAAAGGTGACCTATTACACAAGAGATTGTTCAAATAGAAACCACTGGTTTAAGGCAGGCAGAGAGCTGAGTTGTTTTACTACCGAAGAACATAAACCACAGCTCAAACTACAGCGTAAAAAGAAATGAGAAAAACAAGTAGCATAGCCCCGCTAAGTTTTCCTTTAGTTCATACAACTTACTACAATTCTATTGAAAATTCAAATGGTCAGTTTGAATTTAAGAAGAAAACCTTGCTGAGGTACTTCAACTCCAACTTTGGAAACTACTGGGCTGTATGCTGCTGTATGACAGCAGTTCCTTGTCTCACAGGAAATCATACTAGTTGCCATTTTCATGAGCAGTAGCTCAGCATGTGAATGACTTGTTACCATACAAACGTAAAGTTCTCTAAACTTCCATCTCTGTAGGGAGCATCAGCTGATTAAGCCTCTGAACCTCAACACAATTCATTGGCCATTGAAAAGAACACAAGACTTCAATATGAGAGCTGACTCAGGCAGGTATTTCCTGTGAGAAACTTACCTGCTAATATCTTGATCCTCCTGCTCTTTCTAAAACCTACTCTGTCCCCAAGATTCCTCTGGAAATGAAGAGTGAATTTGATGGCCCTGGCAGGAAACTGTCTAATTTCAGGCAGTGCTTTCACTAGGGTCCCTTGGTATTTCATCCCCACTTCCTTCCTACCGACAAGTCCCCCTTTTAGAGTATTTGAAGTTCTTTGTAACAAAGTCTTGCTTTCTTTAGTTGTTGGTAGAACATTTGCATCTTTTGAAGTTAGTAATAAGTGTCCTTTAAACCCTGCACCTAAAAGTCTTGACGGACCCCATAAAGCCGGTAGCGTCTCTCAGGACTGACTGCCCAAGACTGACTTTTTACCCCAGCTATTACAGACCCGGGACCACTGTTTGCTTTTGGAGATTCGAATTGGAAAAAAACACACACACAATCAAGTTTTCCCATATCTGTTCTTTATTTAGAAAACAGGAAATGTTTATACTGAATAGCATGTCCCCATTAAACTTTATGGCATGCAAATGTAAAAAACTTCCGGCCCAAGTTGGTATTATAAACCTGTATTATAAACATGGTAAACCAAAATGAAATTTGTGCAACTACCCTAAAAATGACGTTTTGACAGACTAATCCACACCATATATCCAATTTGTATTCAAGGAACAAATTTTGACTACTAGTAGAAAAACATCCTGGTAATAAGAGACATGGCCAAGATTCTTAAGACTAAAATTAAAGACATTCTTTTAGATTTCTGTCCTTTAATAATTTTCAGAGAGGAAATCCACACAGATGCTTCCAGCTCAGTAACAGACTGAAAAAGCTTGGTGAAATCCAGCTGCTTTGCAGACCTTGGCACCGAGCTTCATCAGATCCAGCCGGTCAGAGGAGCGGCTTGTTCCCTGGTGGGTTTTGAACCAGTTTCCCGTAGCCGCCTCTCCCAGCATCATAGTCCTGCCGGTACTCGTCTCGTACCTAATGGAAGATACAAGGTTACAGTGTAGAGAAACTGCTATGACAACTAGGATTCTTACACACGTCAGAAAAACAAATCTTACAGATGTCACAAGGTTAAGCATTCCAGCCTTTTTTTAAACCAAGTGATATAAAACTCAACTACTTTGCAAAATTATCCATGAATGTGCATTAATGCTTAAAGAGCTCATTCCAAAGGATATTTAAATCATGTTCTTTACTTTTACACGAAAACTTGAAACTCATTTTGCCTTTTCCCACTCTTATCAAGTGATAAAACAGCCCCGAGTAAGACATTCAATAATCATTGCGTGTGGGAAGGTATAGAACACACCATTCATGATTTAAAAAAAAAAAATTACAGCTTTCTTTTAAAGAAGCCTTTCAGGCCAACACTACACAGTTATTTTAATGTAAATAAGCCACCAACTGCTGTCAAGTCAATTTGACTCGTGGCAACCCTACAGGGTAGAGTAGAACCACCCTGTAAGGTCTCAGAGATTGTAAATCTCTATGGGAGCACATAGCCCCATCTTTCTCCATCAGAATGACATTTGACTGTAGACTGTAGACATTGTGGTTAGCAGCCCAGTGCGTATCCCACTGTACCAAAGGCTCGTTAGGAAGTACAGAGTGATAAAACACTATCAAGGACTAAAGAAGCAGAGGATCTTCTTGCTCACCTGGCCCCCCGAGCGCCCTCGGCCGTACTGCCTGCCTTCCCGAAAGCCTGCGTCCCAGTCTGTCCGAATCATCCGGTCGTCCAGGCGAGTCCCATTTAGGTACCGCATGGCGTTCTCTGCATCTGCTCTCGAGTAGTATCTTACGCATAGGTATTAAGGAACATGATAGCATTTCTCCAAAAATGCTTGTGGAGTTACATCTAAATGAAGCCAAGCTAATCCGGTAAGGTGAAGGCTAAAGAAAACAGTATTGCAAATAATACTGCATTTGTACAATATGGCTACACAATATAAATATTGTATTTATGCATGGCTATCATGACCAAGCCATGGTAATTTCAGTCATGCCATACGCATGTAAAAGCTGGACAATGAATAAGGAAGACTGGAACTGATGCCTTTGAAGTAGGTGTCGGCAAATAATATTCAATGTACCACGAACAGCCAGAAATACAAACAAATCTGCTTTGAAAAAACCCAGAATGCTTCTTAGAAGCAAGGATAGCCAGATTTTCTCTCCTGTCAGGAGAGATCGGTCCCTGTAAGAAGACTTCATGCTGGAAGAAGTAGAATGTCAGCAAAAAGTTGGAAGCCTGCAACGAGCTCACTGACCAGGTGGCTACAACAGTGGGCTGCACCGTAACAACCGAGACGGCACAGGACCAAGCAGTACTTCAGCGTGCTGCACCGGGGCCAGCCCGAAGGTGCCTATCAACATATTATTGACTGTAACTGTCTAGATGGTACCGTTAACAATTATTTGTTTGCCCAGCTCCATAGTTTGAGTTGCCAAATATGTTCAGTGAAGGTTAGACCAAATTTTGACACCCAAATTGGGATCACAGTATGGTGCAGAGCTAAGCAACATTTCTTATTTGTTATACGTAGGCCACTTAACAGCAACTAAAATTCAAACAAACTCACTGCGGAGCTCGCTCTAACTCATTGTGGCTCTATAGGACAGGGCAGAGTTGCTCCTGTGAGGTTCTAAGACTAACTCTTTACTGAAGTAGAAGGCCCTGCCTTTCTCCCTCAGAACAGCTAGTGGATTTGAACTGCTGACCTTGCGGTTAAAAGCCCAACAGGTAACCACTAACCATTATGCATGTTCCCAGAGCTTCCTGCCGGCAACTAATGATACAAAACATCTTGAAGACTTACAGCAAGATGGCGAATTAGGCAGATACGCCTCTAAAACAAAGACAAGAGACCAAATGAAACAGAGATGACAGTCCTGGGACCTGGATTGAAGTATGCCAACAAGGAGAAGCTAAAGAAAAGCAGACAGATGGGTGTATTGTTGGCTGATCTGATGCAGCATGGCCATTTTGAACTTTAGCAAGTGGCATTTGATATCAGCCTGACACGCTCCACCCCACCCTCTTCCACACATGGCTGGTAACTAGAAAAGTCAAGAACTTCTCTTGTTCTCCATCCCCTCCTGGCGGCCAGAAGTACACCAACCTCACTCTTAAACCCCCAGGGACCAATGACAACTCCCCCTGCAAAACTGCTGCTCTCCAGAGGTTAGAGCCACGCCCCGTGGATTGGGCTCCCAGTGTACCACCCCCATGTCTAAAGGTGCACGCATTCCACCTCACCAGACTAGCAGATGCAAAGTGCTGGGCCTGGCTAATCCTGGGTGGGCAAGAACATCTTCCATACCCAGCCCCCCTGCTCCCGAGACCTGAAAGAGTACCTTGACTTCAACCACCCTCTGAACCTACTACGTATGGATCCACATATCTAAATGCACACATCAAGGCCAGCAGACCGCTATCTAGTACTGGTATACCACTCCCCCCTCAAATCCCTATAAGCGCCTTGCCTGGCAGAGTGCACCAACCCACGCGGCACTGCCCTAAGCTGCCTCTAGTTGTCTTCATGCCTCTGCCTGTCGTCACCCCCACCCCGCCCCCACCGCCTTTCTTTCCTTTGCCTTATCTGCTTCCTTCTTTTTAATCTTTCCGTTCATTCACTCTGTTCTTTACTATTTTTCCTGCTTCCCAAGTTTTTCTTACTGTATTTCTTTTTGCTTTTTCCTTTTAATTATTAAATTATCTTCTTGCTGCTATTTGCCTACTTTACCTGCTTGGATTTTTGGTTCTTTTTTTTTTTTTTGCCCCCACATTTCAGCAATTGTGCCCACACAGCCTAGCCAATCAATACATCCTGCAGCCCATCTATGAGGTCAGGGCTAGCATCTAGGCCTGCACTACCTGATCATCGAAGCTAGGGGAAAAAACCCTAAGAATTATGTGGGGAAATATCAACAGTAATAAGTTACTTGTCAGGAATTCCAGAACAGAAAGAGATCCCATACATCTCCCAAAAACACAGATTAAAAAATTGTCAAAGAGTTGTTGGGAAAAAAAAAGTCTCTAATATGAAAGAAGAGAAGACATTCATTCATGATGAACAAACCAGAGAGGAGAATACAAAAGAAAATCAGCAAGACAAACCATCATCTCCCCAGAGCCTAAGAGGTGGAAAGCACCTTGGGGGGGGGCGGCCGGAGAGACAACCCATTAACTACAAAGGAGAACCAAAATTATGAAGCTCGGGTTTCTCAGCAGAAACTACACATGCATTAAGGCAGTGGGATGACCTATATAAAACTGAATGAACACACATTGACAACCAATTATCATATGCCCAGCAAAACTGTCCCTCAAATACAATGGTGAAATTAGGAATTTCCAGATCAGAAATTAAAGGAATTCATTAAAAACCAGACCAACCTTCAGAGAGTTCTTTGAACAGAAAACCAACAATAAAACAGCTGGTTGAACATAGATGATATCACCACCCAGAAATTAACCCAGATGTAGAAGGATCCACAGTAAAATAAACCTATAAGGCTGCAAATAGGGAATGAGAGAGGGCAATTTGTAGTGAAGACTACAAAACTGGAGCAGGGAATAGTGTACTTACAGAACTCCCAAGTGGAGAGGAAGCCAGGCAGGCTCGAGTGAAGATGAAGTTGGCAAAGGAAATGATAGAGGAAGGGGAGAGACACAGAAAAGAGTGCAAAAATTAGAGCCACCAGAGGAAAATACTGTTACATACATAAACCTTGCAGTAACAGTGACTTACAAGTAGTTACATGGATAGACATGCAGAGAGATGGGTATATGAAGGAAAGTGGGAGTATGACCATGAATATGTATATAAGTTTGACAGGTAATTGTACACCGGTATTTATTTTTACTGCAAATGTACCCACGAATGTGGTGGAGTGTAGAAGGGGCAAAGTTATAAAAACTTGTTAGACAACCAATCCTGAGGGATTGAGTCACCTTGAGCTTGGGGGTCAGGGACATACCATGGCCAACTGGCCTAACACAGTCCATCAACATGCTGTTCTACACCCCCCTGAGTGAGTAGGATCTTTAGAGGTTGGGAATGACCATCTAGAGGGCCACTAACCATTGGTCTCTCCCTGACGAGGGGAAAGAAGGCTGTTCAAAATCAAAAGACACACAGAAGCGAGTAGTCAAAAGGACTAGTGCCCCACGTGAACATCAGTGAATGACCCAGAGAGCGAAACTGCGCGGTTATCACAACCAACTGCTCTGAAAGAGACCATACTAGAAGGTCATGGGTAGATGGGGGAAAATATAGACTAAAGCTCAAAGTGATGAGTAACAACAAAACAAAGCAGGCTTCCTGGTTAGAGATGACTACTGAAACTCCCCGTAGGTCTGGAACTACATTCACACCCATGGTTCAACTTTCAACAGTTATAGGTAGATATGTGTACGGGAGGCAGGAACACTAGGGAGGTATGCATGTCAAAAAATAACCAACCATTTGAGATGAAAAGCAACATTTACCCAAGTTGAAAAGAGGAAACCAGGAATGGATATAGGCAACACGCAGAAATGGGATACGCAATGTTACACTGAGGGGCTGTAATCAGTGAGATGAAATAAAACGTATATGAATTGTTGAATGTAAAACTGATGATCTACTCTGTAAATCTGATCTACTCTGTACATCTTCACCCAATTCATTGATTTTCGTTTTTTTGCTTTTTAAAAGAACATAGTAAAAAAGTCCCTAAAATTGTCAGTACGCTTCATTATAAGGAAAGACCCTTATCAATAACCCAGGTAATAGTTTTCAAACCTGCCATATCAGATTTACTGAATTTAGCTTGAGGGTGGTATTTTTAAAATTCTCTAAAACAAATTTTGATTACTGGCCAGATTTTAGAAAAATCAGATCTAAGTGTTTTTGCTTTTAAATTCCAATATCCAGTACCTAAACAATATCTTAGCAATTAACAGTTAAAAAACACCCCAAAACCTGCTGCATACCAACTCACAGCAACCCTATAGGACAGGATAGAACTGCCCCTGTGAGTATGAGACTTCGCTTGTGTAGGCAGCCCAGGCTTTCTCTGGCAGAGCTGCTGGTGGTCCTGAACTGCTGACCTTGGCATTAGCAGTGCAACGGCGTAACCACTACGCCAACAGATAGCAAATAGTAGGCATTCCTTCCTTCTTTCCTCAATTTTTTAAGTGAATACAGGGAAGACACTATTAGCAAAAACCAACTAGCAAAAGCAGCCTATCAGGCCTGTGGCATCGTGATGCCATTATGACTGCATCTCTACCCTCTAAGCCAAGCGTGAAACACTCTGGCTTTCAGATTAAAGACCGCATAGAGTAGAGAGACATAAACCCAAAGACTGCAAGAGGCCATGAGCAGGTGAGAGGGTCAAAGTAGCTGGAGGATGGCTCATGGTGAAAGTCTTTGTGGAATATTTTGAAGGGTCTTAGAGGAGTAGGAAATCGAAATCCTAGGAGACTCTCAATCCAAAATTGAGGTGATAAGAGGAGTTAATGAAATGTTTCTTTGAGGAATATCGTAAGCTGGAAGACGTTTAACTGAGATAAGTCAAAATGAAAGGGTCCTTAATGAACAGTGCAGAGGAGCTAGCTTTGATATCAGCAAGTGAAATAAACTCCCTTTCATTCTAGCACATGGGAACCTCATATCCCAAGGTATGCCAACAACGTGAGAGAGAAGTCCTGCCCAGGTCCAGAGTCAGCTCTCTACCCTGATCTATAAAAGGAAAGCCAAGAATCAGACATTTCAGGACAATTACAGCATAAAATACAACCAAAAAAGAAAACCACACAGGCCAGATGAAATATAATTCAGAGCACAGGGGGTAGAACGTGAAACACTGGATCAGGTCTAGGATTTTTCTCAGAATATAAAACAAATGACCCCAAAAAGGAAAACATTAGCAAACAGACACAAAGAATCAATCCAGGGACTCTGACAGTGTTTCTGGGAAGAGAACAAATGGAACATGGTTGGGGTTCTCTGTAAGACCGGGCTACGTCCATCTATATACTGACAAACTCTTTAGTCATTGAAGAGGAGGAGGACACTTAGAGATGCTGACATGGAACAATCTCAAGGGTAAGTGGAAAAAGAAGCATGTCTGCAGGCTGCTTCTTCACCCCCACGCACTGCTTCTGGAAGGACACCCAGGAAATCCATCACTGCGTCCCCTCTGATGACAGCAACTAAGGGCTTGGGAGTGGTAGATGGATTTTATTTCAGCTACTCCTTTTAGGAGGCTTTCCCCCCTCTTTAAACACCATGGGCACACATTCTGAAAGCCTGTTCGAGGCAACCATAAGCATGATTTGTTGTGAGTGCCATGCAGTCAATTCCAACTCAGCAACCCTGTGTGTAACAGAAGGGCTCTGCCCATCCTCACATTTGTTATGGGGGAGACCATTCCTTGAATGAATGTAAGTGGTTAGCAGCTTTCTCAGCTTAAGAGCCGGACACAAAACAGAGAGGGGGGGAGGGGAGGAAAGCAGAGACCCTTAAATCAATATATCGTCACTGACCAGGCACCCAAACATTCTAGGCCGCCCCCTGGTTCAGCAGCTACCTTAGACATAACAGGAAGGATACTCCACAAAACAGAATCCACATGCCGTCTTCTTCACTTTATCCAGGCCCATGATGATTTTCTTTATGTCACCACTTTTGCTGAAGAGTTCATAGATTTGTTCTTCGGTGGTGTAAAAGGAAAGGTTTCCAACATATAGAGTACAGCTTTTCTTCAGTAATTTTTCTTGCTCCTCATAATCACCCTAGGGTTTCAAATGGAGAAAAAGTTAGACTATACAACCTAGAAATGAGCTTGCTCAGGGTTCCTTAGAAGTGGGTAAAAATGGGCATTAATTATGATAGGTCAACAAAACAAAAAAGAGGGAAGGAGTTGATTTTCGGAGGCACTTTTGCAAGGTCCAGAGTACTGTTAATAGCGTGTCAAGGCTTGAAGTTACTCTGCAGGCCTCTAGCCTTCTGCCCTCCTTGGCACTGTATCCTAAAGGCCCAAGTTTCAATTGTAGACCTTGAATCAGTTATATGGAAGAGCTCTTTGATCCTTTTAGTTGGTTCCCACTGAGGATTTCCTTTGTAATCCTCCCACAGAGACCATTCCAAACAATTAATCAGCTACACAGGTTAGTGATAGGCTCCGGTTGCTGAGTTCAGGAATAATGTGTCGATCATTAAACACAGGAGAGTTCACCTTCTTGATGGGCTGTTTGGAAGACAGGAGTAGAACTGTGTTTCAGCAAAAACACCTGACAAGCCTTGGGCACAGAATGGCTCATCCTGGAAACCAGAGTGGCCACCTGTGGCCACCCTCTTCTAGGATCCGCACCGGGGAGGACAAATGCCTACTGCATAGGCCTACCAGCTGACCTGCTCTCAAGCCCTTCTGACCCAGGCAGGGCCCTAAAATCAGTCATCTTAACTACTGAGTTGGATTGAAGACAGCCCTTCTTACACCTCAGAGTTGTAGTCTAGCTTGGAAGGTAGCAGCTGAGTCGACCTGTACTGAGTCTCCAGAAGACTTTCCAAGAGCTCACAAGGTGTAATGTTGGTCCCGTTCCCTTCCCTCGGGCAATCTAACTTTGCTTTGTCTCTGAATGTTTCCTAGCACAGTGTTCAAAGGAATAGTTCTCAAGGGATCACAACTGGTGGCAGAGAACTAGGGTAACCTATCTGGTCACATCAAAGGGAAACAGACTTGGTGGCAGAGAACTAGGGTAACCTATCTGGTCACATCAAAGGGAAACAGACTACGTAAGTGATGGCACACCCATACAAACTTAGCCCCAAGAAGCCTGTACCGACATGCGATGACAGGGGACATCTCCAAGAGGGAGTGCAAAGTGACGCATCACACGGTACAGTGTGAAGCATACACTCCAGACAATATTTTTAGTTAATTTATTCTTAAACCTTAATTACTTTAAAAAAATACATGAATAACTATGTATAACAATACATGCCTACTTCTGGGGTGAGAAGCAAGAGAATGCAAGTCTGATGGACAAGTATGCTGTCTTGGTTAATCTCTAGAACGACTATATGAAGTAGGTCCTAGTTTATGATCCGTACTTTCCACATAAGGAAAAAGTTAATCTGTACAAATCATAGAGAAACTTAGTCGGTCTAACTAGAATTCCAACCCAGTCTAGTCCCCATTCCCATACTGCCTTAAATAGTCAACAAGAAAACAGACATTCTGTGTTAAAAATAGATTCTCACAATTTTGAAATGAGACAACAGAGAATGTAGATTAACTTTTTTTTTTACTGATGTTAAGGAGTTGTTCATATCATGATCAGCAGGCATTTTCACCTCCTTCCTACTTTTCTCATACAGGTAAGTACTGTCCAAACAAGTAGCCTCGGTTGAAGACACCTGTGGTTTGAGAGCTTACTTAATGTATGGTATCAATGTAGATTTCATTCAGAGAACACTAGACATTCCACAAGACACTCATGTATTACTGTTAATTAAAGCGATGGGCTTTATACTGCAGGTGTAATAGCAGAAGTTGAATCTTTTTTAAAAAATCTGTCAGAATGGTTTAAATTCAAGGGTAATGATGTGCAACTTTCTAGAGTAATGAGTGCCATAAACTTTAAAATCATGTTTAAAATAAAAACTAAACTCAGGGCCACGGAGCTGATGTTGACTGACAGCGACCCTACAGGACAGGCTAGAACTGCCCCCTGTGAGTTTCAGAAACTTGCTAAGTTTACAGGGGCAGAAAATCCCATCTTCCTCTCTCAGAGGCTGGTGGCTGCGAATAGACCTTGCCAACGTGTAACCACTAGGCCATCAGGGCTTCTCAAAATCATGTTTGTACTTCATCAGTGTTTAAAAACTGCAGACCCAGTGCATGAAGCTAGTGTTCAACTTGAGCTCAAATAAAAAACGCCTTTTCGCTGCCCTGCTACACATTTTACACCATCTCCATGCCTACAATCTCCTACTTCCCAGTCAAGGGTTCTCCCACTTCTGACTCCTCACGATCCCTCCCTTCGTGCTCATCACATTCACCTGATGCTGATCACTTGCTTCCACTGATACTCTACTACAGGATCATGCCCGTCTGAGGTGCAGAAACAGTCTCTTCTGCTCGGACTGAGCACAATAAACACTGACGTCACTGGATTAATGAAACCCTCTCCTACAACCCCACTCCCACCTTGCCATTCCTATTACGGAAAAGCCAGCCCACCTCGGTTCTCTATTTCCATTCTGCAGACCTTCTCTCCCCCACACATCTAATCTAGTCTAGGCTAAACCAAAGGTGCTTCCTCTGGAATCCAGTCGTCTCTGATCTTGCTACCCCGACATCCTAGTGCCTAGCAGGGCTCTGGCCTCAACGCGGTCTCTTTCATCCATGGCGAGGTTGAAGAAAAGGCGCAAGAGAGCCAATGGGCTTTGTCTCCCTGCTGTAATGTTTACACGAAAGCGGGGCTGCCATCTGGGTAAGGGGCCTCCACGTCCAGTGGAGTCAAAGGGTTAAGCCTGTCCTCGCCTACCAATGACCTCTCAGAGGCACGGCAATGAGAAAGCGAGCCTCGACCCTTCCCGGGAGAGAAGTGGCTCCAGTAAGCTAGGCACACCCTTCCCGTTTATATTCCCGGGTCCCCGGCCACTGTGCGGCCACACTGCGCGTCGAGCGTCACCAGCGGGCTGAGACGACACAATGAGACCGGAGCAAACCGCCTCTCCGCGTTCGCCTTACCCGGAAGTGCTGGTCCCGGTACTCGGTTAGCTCGACGTACGAGTCGCTACGCAGCGCCTTCAGGAGGCCCCCAGACATCATGCAGGGAGGCGGACCACGGCGCCCAGGCTCCGGGGACGCGGAGAAGGCTCCGGCGGCAGCGGCGGCGGAACCGGAAGCCTCCGAGCCCAATCCGCCAGCGGCCGTGTCGTCATCACTGAGCGCCAGCGCCGTGGCGGTCCCCGCCGGCGCCGCCGGCCGGAAGCGTAGGGCGTCACGCTCACGTTCCGGCGCGCGCCCCCAGGATGGTGTTTCGGCGGCTGCTGGCCGCGCTCCTGCACAGCCCGCAGCTGGTCGAGCGCCTTTCCGAGTCCCGGCCGATCCGGCGTGCGGCGCAGCTCACGGCCTTCGCGCTGCTGCAGCTCCAGCTGCGCGGTCAGGATGCGGCTCGCCGCGTGCGGGGGCTTGCGGCGGGGCCTGCGGGTTCCTTAGGCCGCCGCGCTGCCCGCTTCAAGGATACCTTCAACCAGGAGCTGCGCCGGGGCCTTCGGGACCGTCCGAGGTCACCACCGGGCAGCCAGAGGGGCCCGGGCGCAGACCCCTAACTTGCGGCCCAGTCGTCTGCTTCCCCTTCTAGGCTCTACACCAGCCTCGGCGTTGAGAGGTCATTCGGGACATTGCAGGGGCTCAGTCTTCTGACTCCGGTCGATGAGGTACAGGGAACCCGGACGTTCGGAACAGACAAGGTCTTTGAAGCTCTGGGATCAAGGATTGGGCCGGCATGCTGTGGAGGAAGACTCCGAAGCTCGGCGGAGATAAACATCTGAGGTCCCACCGCAGGCAGAAATAGAGCTTTCCCTTTGCAAATGGAACCAGGACTCAACGACAGATGCTGCCACCTCGGCCCAGAGAGAGCACTACTTACAGGGAAGATCATGGATGAAAAGACAGCCCTGAAGCTACCTAAATCCTCCGATTAAATGTATAAGTGATGAGTGTGTCTTGAGTGTGGTGCTTCTCTGGCAAGATGGATTGGTAATCCTGGGGTCTGTAAACCCGTATTCATCATACTTAAGTATTGAGGGCTTGCGTGCTCTGGCACTTGCAGACTAATGGCACACTGTGAAGTATCCCCGTTACTTGTGACAGCCCTGTTCATATGACGATGTGACGAGTAAATCCTGAGAGTGGGCCGTGAGCACAGGTGTTTGACCCCAGGGCCCCAGTGTTTGTTTATCGCGCTGTATGCTGCTGTTACGCTCCGCAGGAGCCCTGGCGGAGTCTTGGGTTACAAGTTGGGCTGCCAGCAGCAATGTCCGCAGTTCGAAACTATCAGCAGCTCTAGGAAGAAAAGATGATGCTCTCGACGCCTGTAAAGAACCCCCAAGGGCCAGTTCTAATCTGCCCTACAGGGTCCCTATGAGTCAGAAGAAACTTGATGACTGAGTTTTTGGTCGGGTTGCTTTTACCCTGACCCTGAATGCCTTCCACACCCACCCAGTCACCACCAGGCAGTAGGCTAATAGCCACCTTGAGACAAACTGCCCGTGGTCCTGGTTACCGCTGTAGAGGGTGGGAGGTACTAAGGAAGCCTATCATTCAGCTAGTGAATCCGTGATTGGAAGTCCAGTTATTATATACAGGAATGCCCTCTTAATCAAGGTTCCTGGCTGAACGGACTGCCTAATTAAATGATGCAGTTAATCATGCGATCTAGAAGGCTTGAACCCCCACTCCCACCCCCGAGAAGTTTTGAAGCTAGTGACCAAGCAGAATGTGCACCCTGACTTTTCTGACCGAGCTAGACACCTAGCTTGCAGGGTTCAAGCAATGAATGTTGGAGGCACCCTGACAAACTATAGTAGTGGCTACTCGGTGCTCGCTGTTTTCTTGTATGGGAATATGGCCTGATGTTGATGGGTTTTATTTTTCAGATACTGGAAGTTTCCTTTTCTAGAGCTTGGTGGTGTAGTGGTTACACATTGGGCTAATAACCACAAGAACAGCAGTTTGAAACTACCTACCACTCCTTGGGAGAAAGACTACGCTTTCTACTCACATAAACAGTAATAATATTGGAAACCCACAGGCGCAGTTTGATCCATTCCTACATGGTCTCTCTGGGTCGGAGTTGATTCAATGGCAGGGAGTTTGAGTTTTTAAGAGGAGAAATCTGGTTCTTAAAATATTGACACTTCATTTGTCACGTCAGTTCAAACAAAATGACTTTGAGTACCGTTTTCCAACCTCTGTTCTTACACTGCCCTTTAAAACAAAGAGGGCCCCAGTCTTGATGTTACACAGTATTTGATCAAACAGGTAACCCACGTGGGCTGCTAACCACAAGATTACTGGTTCAACCCACTAGCTGCTCTGGGGAGAAAGTTTTGACTTTCTGCCCCAGTAACTATTTACAGCCTCAGACATCCACAGGGGTGGGCAGTTCTAGCCCTTCCTATGGCATCACCATGAGTCAAAGTTGACCGTATAGCATTGAGTTTGAGAGCCATGTGTTCTATTAATGTCACTTTCATGCGATCAGCCTTCTTTACTTTTCATTTTTATCATTTTTCTTTGTCAGAAGAGAAGTCCTGGGAACGTTTCCTAAGTTAAGACTTCTCACCTTCCTCATTAAGGGATGAGTCCTGGACACAACGCGGATCCTCCTAGACATCCCCTCGCAGACCTCGATCAGGCTAGCTTGGCAAATAGACGGTGATTGTTCTGCAAAACAAAAAGATGCCCCTCAGAGTTCATTCAGCCTGATGTGTTTGAAACCTGCAAGTTTTGACAGGTGTCTGAGCCTTCCGTTGGGACAGCTTACTGTCCTTTCCCCCCTGAGCGTTTCTTGTCCAGCTACCGAACGTATTTTCCACCTCCTTTTTCCTCTTCCTTGGAAAGAGATGATTCCATACGGAGCAGTCAGATGCACGTGCCTAGGAATTTGGACTTGAGACAAAGAACTGTTGGTAAATGTTAGTGGCTGTGACTTAAAGAGAAAGTCCCCAAACGTCTGCTGCTGAGGGATCCTGATTCTGCTATTTTCAAATGTGGTTGTACAGTCTTGATTCTCAGAACAGTATCCTGAACGTAAAACTTTTTTAAAAAAAATTACAGGTTAATTCTGTTACTTATAGCCAAAAGAGCATGAATTAAACTAGTAAACATTTCACTGTGAAAATGAGACATATCCACTCAAGTACTCCCTCAATGCAAGAACACTTTATTAAACTGGCATTCCATGATGCTCACCTTCCCAACACGATCGTTGAAGACAAAGCAGGTGCATAAGCAAATGTGAAGAAAGCTGATGGTGCCCGGCTATCAAAAGATATAGCATCTGGGGTCTTAAAGGCTTGAAGGTAAACAAGCGGCCATCTAGCTCAGAAGCAACAAAGCCTACATGGAAGAAGCACACCAACCTGTGTGATCATGAGGTGTCAAAGGAATCAGGTATCAGGCATCAAAGAACAAAATATCAAATCACTGTGAATGAGGGGGAGTGCAGATTGGGGACCCAAGACCCATCGGTAGGCAACTGGACATCCCCTTACAGAAGGGTCATGGGGGTGGTGGGGTGGGGGGAAAACGAGCCAGTGCGGGTACAGTGTAGCAATGATGAAACCTGTAACTTTCCTCTAGTTCTTAAATGCTTGCCCCCCACCCCTTCTTATCCCAATTCTACCTTACAAATCTGGCTAGACCAGAGGATGTACACTGGTACAGATAGGAACTGGAAAAAGGGAATCCAGGCCAGATGATCCCTTCAGGACCAGTGGTGAGAGTGGCAATACCGGGAGGGAGGAGGGAAGGTGGGGTGCAAAGGGGAACTGATTACAAGGATCTACATATAACCTCCTCCCTGGAGGACGGACAACAGAAAAGTGAGTGAAGGGAAATGTCAGTTTAAGATATGACAAAAAAATAATTTATAAATTTTCAGGGATTCATGAGGGGGGAGTGGGGAGGGAGGGGGGAAATGAGCTGATACCAAGGGCTCAAGTAGGAAGCAAATGTTTTGAGCATGATGATGGCAACAAATGTACAAATGTGCTTGTCACAATGGATGTATGTAATGATTGTGATAAGAGTTGTATGAGCCCCCAATAAAATGATTTTAAAAAAAGAAAATGAGGCATAAACTCAAAATATACCTAAAACCAAGAGTGTAAATAATAAACTAGTTAAAATTGAACTGTCAGTGAAAACAGGGCCCCTGGGGGTGCTGGCTATTCGATAGCTAAGGGCGACTAGAAGCAGTCAAAGGTGGGAGGGGATCTGGTGCTCCTCTTCATGGCGCTTTAGATACAATGCCAGAGGAGATCAATGAAAACCCACTGCCATCCAGGCAAGGTCAACTCAGCCAACCCATAAGGGTTTTCAAGACAATCAGTAGAGGAACAGACAGCCTCATCTTTCTCCTATAGACTAACTGGTGGTTTTGAAACACTGACCTTGGGTTGAACAGTCACCCTGTCATCCGGGTGACAGCCAAGTTTCCTAGGCACTTTCCCTACACGCCAATCCTGCCAAGATGCACAAGCTGCTTGCACGTGTATTCAGAAGCACATTCACACTCACCACCTACCCCTGGGGAACAGGTGGCCTGCACTGAAGGGCACAAACCTGGGCATGCTAGATATTCCCTGAGTACAGGAGGCCCATTCTGATGCAAGTAAGTCTGGCCAATAGCTCCCCCAAAGACAAAATACCTAGGAATGGATTTCACCAGGGATGTGAAAGACTTATCCAAGGGATATAAAAAACATATACAAGGACTACTACAAAATATCTCTGTAATAAATTAAAGGAGACTTGCATACATGGAAAAAACATACACCCATGAGTTGGAAGACTTAAGATTGTGAAAATGTCAAAAGTACCCAAAGTGATCATAGATCTAATGCAGTCTGGATCCTCCCTCTAGCCACATTCTTTAACAAAATGGAAAAACGAATTTCCAACCTTCTATGGAAAGGAACCCCCGAATCAGACTAAGCCCACTGCTGCTCCGTTGGATCAGACAGGGTGAGGCTATGGGACTCAGAACTGCTCAGTAGGCTTCCCAAATCACAACGCCCCGTGGGAGCAGATAGCCTCATCTTTCTCCCATAGAGTGAGTGGCTGGTGGATTTGACCCCACTGCCGTTGAGCCCATTCATACTCATAGGGACACTACATAGGGTTGTCGAGGTTATAAATCTTGATAGGAACAACAGCCTCATCCTTCTCCTGCAGAGCTCATGGATTTGAACCATTGACCTTGTGGTTAGCAAGCAGTTCAATGCTTATCTGACAGAGCCTCCAGGGCTCCTGTGGGCAGGAACAATGTCCCAATTAGATAAAGCATTATTGAAGAAGAACAATAAAGTAGAAAATCTTACATTTATCAGTTTCAGAACTTACTATACAGCCACAGTAGTCAAACAGCATGGTGCTGATATAATACAGGACATACAGACATACAGGCCAACAGAACAGAATTGATCATTCAAAAGTAAGTCCATCCAGTTATCGGAGAGGTCCATTCAAAGGGAAAGAGTGTTTTTAACAAACGATGCTGGCAAAATTAGTTATCCATTTGAAGAAAATTAAAGCAAGACCCGTCCATCACACTACACACAAAAACTAACTCAGAACGGATCGAAGACCTAAATGTGAAAGATAAAACTAAAAAAAAAAAAAAATTCCTGGAAGAAAATGGAAAAAATTACAGGTCTAATTTAAGCGCATAAATACAAAATCAAATATAACTAAAAGTGCACCAGAAAACAGATGGCAAACTAGATAACTAGGACCTCATAGAAATTAGATATTCTTAGTGATCAGAAGGTGCTCAAAATATGACGGAAGAGTCTGTTTTCTCAAAGTAGAGTTGACCCAAAGGATGTCGATAGAATTAAACCATTAGGACCTTTATGTGCTGATGGGGCAGGACTCAAAACCAGAAGAAACAGCTACAAACATCTATTAAATCAGAATATGTAATGTACAC